GAGTGTGATCTTACCTGGGTATGCCTTAGACTTGGACACAGGAGTATGTGTCCTGGAGCTGCTGTCAGAAGGAATGTCTAGTAGTCTCTCTATCATGTGCATCTTTAGTTGCCGGGCCTTCAGCCGCCCCTTGGACAATCGTTGTTTGGCGGCCATACAGCGTATGTGGTCATCGAAGAGGAAGCGTGCTGAAAGTAATGACATCGGCCTTGTGTGTTGGGAGCTTGCTGGCTTGTGGATGTTGATATGTAGAGAACGGCTGTCATCTTTGTCCCCCATGACTTCCACATCCTGTGTAATACAAAATACCATATCATGTAATATCTCATATATGATGTCATGGTGTCAAGTGATTTTTTTCTGTCAAACCCTACTTATCCACACACAGTCGTATCTTAATGACTGAATCCCTCTTGATATCAAATATTATTACCATGTGCCTCATGGTTCACTGGAAGGAGTCATTTGAAGATTGCACTGGTAACACATTTGATATCTGTGACCTTGAATGTAAGTCATAGTAATTTAATTGAACAACTTGATAGTCCTTCACCCCAGAGAGACACAGGCCAAATTACAATATACCAGACCTTTCTAAGGGTAATTAGAAGTTATTTGGATATTTTATCATATTTAACCCTCGTGTCCTTTGAAGTCTGTTCCTTGTAAGCTACCGACTAAGTATCTTTAGTCCAGGCTATATTGCTCAATAGAAGTAAGCTGATGAAGATTTAACTCATTCACCCCTGAAGACACATTTGAACTCTTCCAATTCAAAGGTTGGAATGGTTCAATATACAAGAGGCCCATGGGCCTTAATGGTCACCTGACATCTGATTCAAATTAGGACTGTCATCCAGGGGCCAATTCATACTTTTCGTCAGTTCGAGTGACCTTGCTTCATCGTCCATTAATTTTTCCTTGAGAACATAATAACTTAAGTAAATATGAACCGATTTGGATGAAACGTTGTATGCAGCTTTGTATCAATGATATCTTGTATGAGTTTGAATACCGGACCAATTTGACCATAACTTACATAGTTATTCCCCTTGGTAATTCTATTATTGTTGGACCCTGTGAACACCATAACTGAAATAAATGGGCGTGACTCCAATTTTGACCCAAGGGGTCTGTTTTGAACAAACTTGGTAACTGTATGTCTTCTGTTCTTGGTTAAAAGAAACAAGTAAAAGCGTAAATCAAATAATATAAAAATATGGCACAAAATTTAATAGCATCTTGTTAGTAGCAAAAATGTGTCATGAATGGAAAAAAAAGGTGTACCACATGAATATACATCTATTCTTGTGTAATGTCAATCAACATCACAGGGACAAATAATAATATAATGACAAAGGGCAGGTTACCGTCAAATAATTACTGGACAAAGTTTCATTGAACTCCGTCAACAATTATTCAAGTTATCGTGTTTACAACGTCCAATAATAATATTATTACAAAGGGCAATAACTCTGTAAATTATTGTCAAATAATTCCCATTTTCGAACTCGTCCGAGATCTTATTGATATATGGCTGCATACAAAGTTTCATCAAACTCGGTTAAGGTAATAGGATTGAGTCAGCATTTCTCAGTAAAATTTCTTCAAATTTTGTAGTTGTATTGCTTTGAAGTAAAGAAAATTTTCTGCCACCAAAAAAATATAGGTTGTCAGAATTTTAAGGGATTTTAAATGGAAATTTATGTAAAAAGGAGTGAATTTTGAATAAAAAATGAAACACACGATGTTTTGCAAAATCATGTCAATAAAAATGATACTGACATAGATTAGTATTGCGTTAATGTATATTAATTTCATAAATGCTGAAATTGTGTAAAATTAATTATCTAAAAGCGATTAAAAATTAACATTTTATAATAAAACCATATACACATAGTTATTGCATGTAAGAGTTATCGTTCTTGAAAACTTCACAGTAGTGAAATAGGTAGCCGGTTTCCTGAAGTACAGAACAATGGACACATGTGACTCATTGATTAAAAAACAACTGAATTAATGCCTGGTTTGCTTTGAAATACTTTAATATTGAAAGAACACACTGTTCTGTCAATAATAAACATACAATATTCATCAGTTTAAAATTAAACATTAGAATATGCGGAAAATGTGATACCGTCTCCCTACATTAGAGTTTCAACTAGGGATGTACTTCCTATTTCCGTTTAGCAATACACTCCTATGACCTTAACATTTACTCAAGTAATCATGTTCATAAGGTCCAATAATAATATTATTACAAAGGGCAATTACTCTTTAAGTTATCGTCGAATAATTTCCATTTTCGTACTCGTCCGAGATCTTATTAATATATGGCTGCCTACAAAGTTACATCAAACTCAGTTAACATTTACTCAAGTTATCGTGTTCACAAGGTCCAATAATAATATTACAAAGGGCAATAACTCTGTAAGTTACTGTCCAATAATTCCCATTTTTGAACTCGTCTGAGATCTTATTGATATATGGCTGCATACAAATTTTCATCAATCTCGGTTAACATTTACTCAAGTTATCGTGTTCACAAGGAAAAGTTAACGCACGACGGACGACGACGGACAAAAGGCTATCACAATAGGTTACCATGACCTATGGTCAGGTAACCTAAAAATGTCCAGGGTCAATGAGTTAAAGACAAGTTCCATTGCAAGTATAATCACTCATACCTTGCGGTTACTAAGAAAAAATGTAAAGTTTCCATCATTTTTTAATTCTGTTTCCTTGAGAGTGATTCAAGCACCACCATAATCTCCAACAGAAGCCACACCTATCTCTATTTCGGAGTGCATAGTACCATTCACCAACAAGAGTACCGCAGGATGGAACAATATTCGCCCGTCAAATGCCATATAGTGTTATATACTTTCTTATATTGAAAGAAGACATTGAAAAGGGAGACACAACTTCATATTATGAGTATAATGTATACCAAGTTTCAAAGAGATCTGTCGAAAAATGTAGGAGGAGATTGCCGGACAAAAATCAAATACTGAAGTAAACAAAGGGCAATAACTTTTGCAAAAATTGTTGAATCAAAACTCTTTTCAAGGAAACACAACAACATATCATGATTATTTAGCCTACTAAGTTTCAAAGAAATCCGTTAAAAAATGTAGAAGATTGCCGGACAAAAATCAAATACTGAAATAAACAAAAGGCAATAACTTTTGGAAAAATTGTTGAATCAAAATTCTTTTATGGGAGACACAACTTCATATCATGATTATAATGTATATCAAGTTTCAAAGAGATCAGTTAAAAAATGTAGGAGGAGATTGCCGGACAAAAATCAAATACTGAAATAAACAAAGGGCAATAACTTTTGCAAATATTGTCGAATCAAAATTCTGTTTAAGGAAACACAACAACATATCATGATTATTATGCCAACTAAGTTTCAAAGAGATCTGTTGAAAAATGTAGGAGGAGATTGCCAGACAAAAATCAAATACTGAAATGAACAAAGGGCAATAACTTTTGGAAAAATTGTCTACTCTATTCTTTTAAGGGAGACACAACTTCATATCATGATTATAATGTATACCAAGTTTCAAAAAGATCAGTCGAAAAAATGTAGGAGGCGATTGCCGGACAAACAAAAGTTTACGCCGGACGGACGGACGGACAACGCCATACTTTAATACTCCCGTCAAATTCGACGGGCGTATAAAAAGTGTGCAACAATACAGAAGTTAAAGCCCTAATGGTCTCAGTCAATAAGCTATCATCTGGGATTTTGTAAATCTTTCAGGAATTACCTGAGTTGCCACTTAATATGAACAAAATCCTACCAAACAAACAAACATTATATATCTTGAGGGATGACTAGATCCTGGTAATAACACAGGTGAGACTAGTCATATTCAGTGTTTTTTTGATAAAATATATACCCAACCAACCTCCTGTTCTAATTTTAGTAAGTACATCTGACTTAATTACAAACTTAATATAACTATATGAAATATATATATATATATATATATAACACATGCATAAACATAGCTATTGAATGTAAGGTGTACGAATAGTGAAAGACCACCTACGTGTGGACACTTTATTGTTCGGGGGGCTGATCCAGGGCTCCTCAACCCTGGCAGCCTCCAACAACCACTGAATATTTGCATATGCATTTGTCAAAGATCTATGAAAATGAGAATATCAAAATGCTGAGGGATTAAAATTTGTATAAAAAAAAAGAAAAAAAAGTACATTTGACTTTTTCCTTAGGAACATGTTAAACCTTAATACCCATCATAGTCATATTACAGTTTATCATAGTGTGAAGTTTCAGAAATTTTAGACTTCTGGATTCTTAGATCATCTCTAGAAACAAAAGTGTGGATAGACAGACAGATGTATGTATGCTGTAACTACTTAATCCTATAGGGCACCTGCATCTTTGAATTGAGGCCCTATCCTATAAGGCACCAGCGTCTTTGATTTGAGACCCTAACCTATAGAGAACCTGAATCTTTGATTCGAGGCCCTATCCTTTAGAGAACCTGCATCTTTGATTCGAGGCCCAATCCTATAGAGAACCTGCATCTTTGATTTGAGACCCTATACTATATAGGGCACAGCGTCGTTGAATTGAGGCCATATCCTATAGGGCACAGTGTATTTGATTTGAGACCCTATCTTATAGGGCTCCAGCGTCTTTTATTTGAGACCCTATACTGTATAGGGCACAGCGTCGGTGAATTGAGGCCATATCCTATAGGGCACAGCGTCTTTGAGTTGAGACCCTATCCTATAGTGCTCCAGCGTTTTTGCTTTGAGATCCTATCCTAAAGGGCTCCAGCGTCTTTTATTTGAGACCCTATCCTATAGGGCACAGTGTATGTGATATATTTAACAACTACAGTGAACAAGATAGGGCTCCAGCATCTTTGATTTGCGTCCCTATCCTATAGGGCACAGCATATTTGATTTGAGATCCACTCCTATAGGGCTCCAGCATCTTTGCTTTGAGACCCTATCCTATAAGGCACAGCGTCTTTGATTTTAGACCCTATCCTATAGGGCGCCAGCATATTTGATTTGAGATCCTATCCCATAGGGCTCCAGCGTCTTTTATTTGAGACCCTATACTATATAGGGCACAGCGTCGTTGAATTGAGGCCATATCCTATAGGGCGCAGTGTATTTGATTTGGGACCCTATCCTATAGGGCCCCAGCATCTTTGATTTGAGGCCCTATACTATATAGGGCACAGCGTCGTTGAATTGAGGCCATATCCTATAGGGCGCAGTGTATTTGATTTGAAATC